ACCAATCCTGAGTTCACATGACAATCATCTCCTTTATCAAGCTCTCACCCACCAAGCCAACATTCCTACTGCCTCAAATCACCCAGGGCCAGGTACCAAATAACTAGAGACCACCCTATAGACCAGAGCCCACTGACATTATTCAAACTGTCCAATTCTAAGCCTGTTCAGCCTTGCCCATCCCTTCCCACAAAAGCCACAATAAAAGCTCGTGTCCATGTTTCCCCTCACCCTTTCTCTTCCTGACTCTGGTGCTTCCTTACGTGGCCCTGCATGGTGTGTTGTGACTTTTATTTCTAGGGACCTGTGGGTACAAAAACTTCCTCCATGACATTCATTTCTGTGTCTGTATGTATTACCATACTTGCTTAAAACAAAGCATTTTAGAGTACATTTTAAAATACATTTATATACATTTATAGAATGATAAACTCTGCTCCCACTTTCTACACTGGGGGCAGGTCGGGTGGGTAGAAGGATACGTGATGCCATGGATGTGTTTGGGCTACACGTTTATGAGACTTCACTTCCAGTTATCTAGTTCTATAGTCTGTAAATCTCAGGTTATTTCCTAGAAAACCAAGACATTTTATTAGATGATGCCAAGGTCCCTTCTAGCACTAAATGTCTTTGAACCCAGATGGCTTCTGAAATATGTAATGGAGCAAGATATAAATGATTATGATATAATATGAAACTAGAAGGAAAAAACGGGATACAAAATTATATTTATCCTTTAATCAAATATGGCTGAAGACTGGAAGAAAATATGCCAAAAAAGATTTAATAAAAGAATGGAATTATGGGTCACAATGTATTACTTCGAATAATAATTTTTTTAAAAAGATCCAAAGTTCATATCAAGGCAGAGCAGGAAATCTTTCTCTCATCGTTTCTGCATCCTTCTATTTGTTCCTAGAGGTCAAAAGTCCAAGACGGGTCTTATTGGGCTAAAATCAAGGCATTGGCGGAGCTATGTTCCTTCTAGAGGTTCTAGGGCAGAATCCATTTCTTGCCTTTGCCAGCTTCTAGAGGCTGCCCATATTCCTTGGCTCATACCCTGCTTTCCGTTCCACCTTCAAAGCCAGTGAAGGTCAGTCTTTCTCACCTCCCATTGCTCTAACCTTTCTTCAGGGTCACGTCTCCTCTGATTGACTCTCTTGCCTCCTCTTTGACTTAGAAGGATGCTGTGGTTACATCAGCCCCACCTGGATAATTCATAATAATAATAATCTCATCTCAAGGCCAGCTGATTAGTAACTTTAATTCCATCTATAATCTTAACTCCCTCTTGCCATTTACATAGAATATTCAGAAGTTCCAGGAATTAGGATGAAAACATTTATTTTTTCATAGGGGGAGGTGTTATTCTCTGGAATTCTGTTCCATATAGAGGCCTCCTGCAGTCCCTTCATGTCTTCCTGATTGCCCTTGATCATTTCACCCAGTTTAAGCTGTATAAGACATGGCATGGAGAGGAGCACGGACCTTAAACTGAGAGTCACCTTGGACCCTGTGGTCCCTTATGGTTAATGCTGCCAGCCTGTGAGATGCTTTTAGTTTCTGAAGCTGGACATCCAGCCTGCAGACATTTATTGAACACCTTCCATGTGCCCAAACGAAGCCAGGTGTTAGGGAGGATATAAATATGAGGATGACACAGCCCTGTTCAGGGAGCTCTCGACCTAACAAACGAGAGGACTCATCCTCATCATAAACACTCAAAAGACAAGGCACGAAAGGAAAGAGATGTGAAGCGAGGCGAGGGAAAGTGATGTGAGCTGTGTCCTCATTCTAAAGGCACATGTGAGATCCTAGGAGGTGGTGGTGGGAGAGGTGAGCCCGAGCTCAGTTCCAGCTCTATTTTTTATTTTTTAAAATTATAAATTAGTACAAGGAAATGCCCTTTGTCCTGTTCTCCTCCTTTCCTTCTCCCAATCTGTTATCTCCATCCCACTGATTGGGGGTAACTGCTCTATCGAGATATTTATATTCTTCCAGATATATTTTATATGGTAAAATGCTGAAATGCAAAATATGAGGCTGATAACTTGTAACTTTTTTTTTACACAATGGGTTCATTCTCTGTTTTTGCAACTTGAATCAGTCCCTGACCAAATCGAGGATAGTTTCACAAGTCAGTGCAATGTGTGTTTGTATATTTCTAGGGTAAATCTCTAAGCGTGGAGTATCTGTGTCAAAATATATGTCCCATTTTAATTTTCACAGATTTTGTCAAGTTGCCAACCAAATATGTAAAACTAATGATTTACTCTCCCTCCAACTTGGTACGAGAATGACTGTTCCTTCATGCTCCACAAACACTGGATATTATCCATCTTTTTAACCTCTGCCAATCTGATAGGTGGAAAAAGGGGTATCTCAATGTGGTTTTGATTTGCATTTCTCTAATGATGAGTGTGGTTAAACTTTTTTTTAATGTGCCTGTTTATGTTTTAAATCCTTGGGCCATCTGGAATTTATTTTGTTATAAGAATAGAACTTTATTTTTTCCAAATGGCAGTACTAGTTATTAAATAATTCACATTTCCCCCACTGATTAGAAACGCCACCAAGTTCTAAATTTTTAAAATGAAAAGAGGCCACCTCAACCTAAACCTAACACCATATACAAACATTAATTCAGAATAGATCATGGATTTAAAGGTGAAATACATAACTTTTAGAAAATAACACAAGAGAGCATCTCTAGTACCTACAGATAAGCAAAGAGTTCTCGGGCGTGACACCAAGAGCAAAATCTGTAAACTAAAAAGTTAATAAATTGAACTCCACAAACATTAAAAACTTTTGTACTGTGAAATATTCTGTTAAAAAGAGAAAATCGTACAGACTAGGAGAAAATATTTGCAGAGTACATAGTCAACATAGGCTTATAAATAGAATATATAAAGAATGATCAAAACTGAAGAGCGGAAATCCCCAAAATCTGATTATAACAGAGGTAAAAGAGTTGAACAGGTGTTTCACCAAAGAGCAGATATCAATGGCAAAGAAGCACATGAAAAGATGTTCAATAGCATTAGCCATTTGGGAAATACAAATTAAAAATTAAAACCACAATATCACTATACACCTATTAGAATGGCTAACAGAAAAAACAATAACACCAAATGCAGATTAGGATGTGGAGAAACTGAAACTCTCATACGCTGCTGGTGGAAATCTAAAATGGCACAACCACTCTGGAAAATAGTTTGGCAGTTTCTTGTAAAACTAAGAGTGCAGTTACCATACAACCTATCAATTGCACTCTTGGATATTTATCATAGAGAAATAAAAACTTGTGTTCACACAAAAACCTGTACACAAATGTTCATAGCACTTTCATTCATAATAGCAAAACAACAACAACAACTAGAAACAGATCAATCATCCTTCAGTGGGTAGATGGTTGAACAAACTCTGGTCGATCCATACAGTGAAATACCACTCAGCAATAATAAAGTATTAACTATTAATACGTAAAACAATCTGAGTAGACCTCAGGGGCATTACGCTTAGTGATAAAAAGCCAATTCCAAAAGGTTACATACTGTATGGTGTTTGATTCCTTTTATACAACATTCTCCAAAAGGTAAAACTATAAAGATGGAGAACAGATGAGCAGTTGTCAGAGGTCAGGGGTAGAGAGAAGGGGCTTGGGTACAGAAATACAAAGAGATGTCAGAGGGAGTTCTGTGCTGATGGCACAATTCTGTATCTTGATTGTGGTATTACAAGATCTACACATGTGATGAAATTGCATAGAACTATACACACATAAATGAATGCAGTTTCAAAAGTGACAAAATAAGGTCCATAGTACAGTTAACAGTAAAGTGCCAATGTCAATTTCCTGGGTTTTATATTGTATTGCAGTTATATAATATGTCAGTACTGGGGATACTAATTTTACAAATTTCTGTGAGTCTGTAACTATTTCAAAAGAAAATGCTTAAAATTTTCTTGAAATGAAAAAACAAGAGAAGAAAACCATCTTTGCCAAAGACCCTCCCATTGCATAGCGTGGTTCTCTTGGGTGGTTGCTTCACCCACAAGAACTTACTCCTTCCTTTGCCTCCCCAGACACACGACGTAACTATCCTTTTTGGAAAGTTTGCAATAAAATAAAAGGTGCCTTAGATCAGGATGTACAGAAAAGTTGCATAAGTAAAAATAGTTCAAAAGAATATCTGCATACCAGATTAACCAAATGTCAATATTTTAACCCATTCACTTTGTCATATGGGACCTATCAATGTACGCCATTGTTTCTGAACCATTTCAGGGTAAGTTACACACATCGTGGGCCTTTGCCCCTGCATACTTCAGCGTTTACTTCCTAAGAATATTCTTTTATATAATCATAATACTGTTATCAACTTTAGTAAATTTAACATCGATTTAATACTTCAATCCATCTTTCTTATTCCAGCTTTCTCAGTGGCCCCAATAACATCCAGTACAGAATCCAGCCTGGGTCAGGTGCTACACTTAGTTGCCATGCCTCTATGAGAACTTTAGTAGATCCGATAGCTTTGCTACCAAGCTCTCCTTGTCACGGAGCACCCAGAATTCTCTCCTGTAAACGGGATGCTGGTAATTGCCCCCACCTTGTGAGTAAAGGCGCTTTAACAATCTATAAGAGCTAAATGGGGTGTTTCTCTTCTGCATCATTATTCCTCTGAAGCATCTAAATATTCCACTGTGGGTTGGGGCAAAGAAGATCCGCTTTGTTTTTCGCTCCCAGCCTGGGCCAGCGACGTAGGGGGGCGAGCCAGGGAGAAGAAGGAATTTGGAAAGGAATTCTCTAGGGAAGAGGGAACCCAGGCAGTGCGAAGTACTCCCCTTTTCTGACCCCCCTCACCTGGAGCACCAGGCGGCCAATTGGCGGTGTGGCCCGGGTCCCCACAGCCAATGGGAAGGCGGCGCGTCCGTGCGCCCCCAGGGGTATAAGCACTAGCAGGCTCGGGAAAGTGAAAGTGGGGCGGCAGCCTCTGGCGCAGCCGCCCAGGTCCTGAGCTAGGGCGCTGGAGCGGAATCACCAGGATGCTCAGGGCTCCCGAGCCAGGGCCCCAGGAGGCGGGGGCAGCCACTCAGGGCAAGCCACTCACCTCCTTTCTCATCCAGGACATCTTGCGGGAGGGCGTAGAGCGGCGCGGCAGCCACACTGGCAGCCTGCAGCCGCTGCTCCGGCCGCAGCCCACTCGCCCACCGGCCCCGAGGCGACACCCTGAGCCGGAGCCCGAGGGCGGAAGAGGTGGCGCCGGGGCGCAGGAGGATGAGCCGAGCGCCCGGCCCCGCACCGCACCGGGGAAGGCCGTGCCGCCGGGGGAGACCGAACCAGGTAAACCTGCAACGCTGGGGAGGCCGGGCTGAGCCGGGCGGGGTCCCGCGGAGAGCGGACAGGCCAGCAGGCTGCGCGGGTGTGAGCGTGCGTCCAAGGCGCAACTCCCGGATCTCCGGCTGCAGGGATGCGGAGCCCGCAGCTAAGGCGAAGGGACCTCACCGCCTCCTGCGGTGGGTGCGCCTCAGGGATTAACCCTGAGCCCCAGGGTCAGGGCAGCGCAGGATGTGGACATCCGCCTGACTCGCCTGCACGGTGCTCCCGACTCTGCGGGCTCCGGTGCTCTCCCGGCTCAAAAGCGAGCACGCACGCCGCGCCCACCTTCTCCCCCCAACCCCGCGACCCGCACCCCGGAGTCCCAAGTGATATACCCCGACCCCAGCTCCCAGTTACCCGTGCAAACTTGATCGGCGCCAGCCCCACGTTACCTCTTGGCAGTTACAGTAACTAACATACAACAAATAACTTATTAATATGAATAAATTAGAGTTAGTCCACCCCCTTTGCTTCCCTACCCCAAGGCAGTAAAACAGTCATTTTGGGAGTTCCCTTCGGTCTTCAGGAAACACAACGCTATTGGAATATTTAGAGCAGACTTTTCTTTCCTAACGGCTCGTTTAGAGGAAAGGGGACCTGAAAGCCAGAGAAGGAGCTTGCCCTTAGCTCTCACAGCCTCTCCTGTCACACAAGCCCTCTCTTGTCTCCCGGATGTTAACACCGGATGCCTTAGGTCCTTCGTGAGGCATCCTATTTCTCAGTGTCTTCCCTGCCTCCCTTCTCCCTTCTACGTACAAATATCCAGAATCCCTATTTTATTCTGTACGATGTGGCAGGAAGCTCTACCGCTAACCGTCTCTTACTCTAGGTTCTTGATAGCTATTAGAAAACTAATACATAGTATACCGTATTCTCTCACTCCCCACTCTGGAGAGCTCCTTAGTCATGTGAAAAAAGTGAAATGTATCCAAGATGACAGTGGGCTGTTTGTTCACTCGCTGGAGGAATAAGGGTGGATTGAATTCTGTTCTCTTCCCTGCTAACATGTAACTTTTTCCTTCTCGTGCCACCTTCTCTCCTCTCCTTTCCAGATAGGCACTTGGGAACTTATCTGTTGGACTGTGAAGACACTTCGGGTGCCTTGCCAAGCGTTCCCGAAACCCCCAAGCAGCCGCAGAAGCGCTCCCGAGCTGCCTTCTCCCACACGCAGGTCGTTGAGTTAGAGAGGAAGTTCAGCCACCAGAAATACCTGTCAGCTCCTGAAAGGGCTCACCTGGCCAAGAATCTCAAGCTCACCGAGACCCAAGTGAAAATATGGTTCCAGAACAGACGCTATAAGACCAAACGAAAGCAGCTCACCTCGGACCTGGGTGGCCTGGAGAAGCCCTCCTCCTTGCCAGCCCTGAAAGACGAGGGTTTCTCCCGAGCCTCCATCCTCTCCATGTACAGCCTCTATCCTCACTATCCTTACCTGTACTGCTTGGGAGGCTGGAGCCCGGCTTTCTGGTAACAGCAGCTCAGAAATCAACTATGTGTGATCAGAAACTGTCTTCCCCAGACTGTCTCTCTGGAAAGCAAAAGGGACCAAGGTCAGGGAGGACTGGGGAGCAAGAGACGTGCAGCCAAAACGGTTAAAGGTTTGCCTGGAAAACCCAGATTCTTCACTGGTGGCCAATGAAAAATCTGGGCCCGTGCCTAGTTTAATATTCACATAGTTTCCCCAACACATAACGTAGGTCATTTTTGCTTTTAGAGACTTGCCCGAAGTGGGGATGGATACAGTTAAGTGCTGTTTACAGCACCGTGTGTGATTTGGTGTGAGCCGCCGTCCACATCGCTTCTGGGGATTCTGTTCCTACAACTCCATCCGCTGGTGTAGTGGAGCACTGACTGAAAGAGCAGTCCTGAGGGAGACAGGACAACCAAGATGAGGATGAATTAGACTTAAGTTCGAGATCTTCCTTGGCCTTGGAATATGACCAAATTTTCTCTCTGTCCCTGTAAGAGAGAGGGAACTAGAGGATGTCACCAAGAAACCCATCGTGCTCAGGGCACCTTGGCTTGGGCTATGGAGATGGGTAGGCAGAGATGAAAATATAAATATCTTATTATTTCTTTTTAAAAAGTATGCCAATTTGCGTATTTACAGGGTGGCCCAAGTAGGCAAAGAAGCAGTCACTGTGGGTTTAAGACAAGCTGTGTAAACAGAGCTCTACTGTAAGAAGTGGCTCAGGCCAGAAGAATCTCCGTGTGTCCAAGACAGTGGCCAAAGGAGAAATCTCCCACTCTCCCACTGCTGCAGGGAGCACTGTAATTTTATTAGCAATGCTAATTTGCGTATTTACAGGGTGGCCCAAGTAGGAAAAGAAGCAGCCACTGTGGGTTTAAGACAAGCTGTGTAAACAGAGCTCTACTGTAAGAAGTGGCTCAGGCCAGAAGAATCTCCGTGTGTCCAAGACAGTGGCCAAAGGAGAAATCTCCCACTGCTGCAAGGAGCACTGTAATTTTATTAGCAAAAGGCCAAAAAAAAAAAAAAAGCCTTTTCTGGTCCTTTTTGCCCTGGGCCCGAGAATTTAGAATGAGAAGGTTCCCGGAGTTTTCAGGCTATAATTCACACCACCTCATGACAGATCACATCGTTCTTTACTCTCAGCGCCTTCCTTCCCTCCTTTTCTTTTTCATTTCTTTTCCACAGCCATCACCCACCGAACGGTTTCTTTTCAGTTCAGACTTTCAGTCTGGCTGGCTGCACCTCACATATGCCTTCCTTATTTAGCCTGAGATCTGGTCTTTTTTTTTTTTTTTCCTCCCAAACTTTATCTTTCCTGGGTTAAAAAAAAGGGGGGGAGGTGATTCTGAATTGGCTAAAAGACATGCATTTTTTTGGTATCTAACAATTCTTATTTCTTTCCTTTAAAAATATACAGCATTAAATCTCAAATCCTATTTAAAGACTCGACAGCTCTAGAAGGTCACTGCTACTTTTATAGGACTTTCTGGTGGCTGTTGTTACAGTTCAAAGTCTGACAACCCTTTGGGATCTCTGCAGGCAGAGGAGGTAAGAGGTGTGGCTTTCACACACAAGGAAGAACAGTGCGAAATGTGAAATGCGGGGTTGGTACTGTTGAGTTATCTAATGTGACTTGAGGGCTTATGGGTGGGGCGTGGAAAAAAAGGCAGCCTGGTCCTTAGTGAGCCCAGTTACTCGGTCAAGCTGACAGGGCTGAGAGCACTTTGCAGAGAGAGGCTAAGGAAAAAGAAACAGTTTTCAAAACTGCATTATTGTGGCTTCCATCACTTTAAAAAAAGAAAAAAAACTGTCCAAATGCTTCGGGAACTGCGTTTAATGCCTATAAAAAAAATGGGTCGCCAAAATGAGTCACTTCGTGATTTCAGAGAGAACGAGAAGAGGGCAAAAGAGGAATATGGCCACCCTTCTGTTTTCATCCCATTACTCAGGTGACCTGGTAGAGGGAGACATCGGAATAAAAAAAAGCCAGTTACTAATGAGCTACCCTGAGGCCTGGAAATCTCTTGATCCCACCACTTAATTCTGTTTAGTAAGAAACCTTTCAATTTCCTCCTATTAAGAGGGCCAATTTACTGTTGGTGGCAAAACTGCCAGAGTTGATAGAAAGTTGGCCCATTTCACCCCAGTTTCTATCATTCAGGCTCCAAGCTGAAATATTGTAAAATGCCACATGCTGCTGACAGTACTAGGGAGCACGGAAGGCAGCATAGCCTGAATGGCTTTCTTTTTCTCACAAGTCTCGTAAGAGAAGCGTCAAGTGCTCACGCTCTGCCCAGTGCCCTTTCTCTCCCCACTGTCTGAATTTAATTCTTCGAACCTGCAATTCTGCAAATATGAAACATTTTCCTGTGACATATATTGTGTTGCAAAAGAAAAAAAGTCTTCGCTTAAAATTATTTGGTTTGTGAATTCATCTTGCTTTTCCCCCATTGGAACTCGTCACTCAGCCATATCTAAACTGGTAAAACAACATTCGAAGAACGAGTATGGCGAACTGGAAGGTGCCCCGAAGGGCTTCAGCCAGACAGCCTCTTTCTATCCTATTTAATAAATTAGTTTGGGTTTTCCACATGTATAACAAACTCTGCTCCGATCTATAGCAAAAAGGCCTGTAACTTGAAATTTAATAAAGTACCCCAACCAAACTTTATTTTTCTATGTACTTTTTTTGCAACATGAGTGTTTTTAAAATAAAGGACCATGTCTTTATCGGACATATCTGAGTGTGATTTTCTGTTTCTTAATGACCATATGCTGTTGAGCTCACGTATTTCTGGTGACCATGTTCTCCCACCCTCGACCTGACTGACAAATCTATGAAGAAAAAAGAATCAAAAGCAGTAGTTTAGCCGGTAGCAGATGATGGTCATTCTTTTATAAGTGCGCTGGCCTCTGTTCCAGGTAAATCATGTGGAGGGGAAAGAGATTTCTGTCCTTAGTTTAATAAGCACCTGCTCCATCCCAAGAATTCCTTTCATTTAAGTAGAGAACATTGGGTTTTTACTTACATTTCTTGAAGACCCTGAAAGGAACACGTAGCCCACACAATACTTCTTTTAAAAATTCCACTCTCCTCTCCCACTAGCCCTTGGCATTACAACTGCTCCCCTGGCCCCCTGGCACCTGCATTTCCCTGAAATTGTCACCATCACCATCATTCAGGGCAGAGAGACCTCTTGCAAGTAACACCTTTGAATCGAAATCACAAGTATTGAAAGTAGGCTTAACATAAAATATATATAAATAACACATCCTTTATCCGCCTGCACTTAAACCTTCATTAAATACCACAAGCAAAGTGTCTCATGCCCCTGATTACCTGAGAGAATTGATGGTTTTCTTGCCCCCTCCTTCAAGGAAATAGAAGCTTAAAGAGTAAGGTACTTACGCGAGGTAAAACATATCATAATTTCAAAGTTTGCTCTAACCCTTTAAGTACATTGTACACACAGGTGGGGCCTCCTGTAGTATGTTCACATCATGAGATTTAACTCTTTGCACAAATCTGCAGCCATCCTCCCCTCCCCCGCGAGGCCCTCAGCTCTCAAATTACAAAAGCTCTGGCAGTAAATTAACAATGTGGATTTTTTTTTTTTTTAACCATTAAAAGTAACTAATCCCGGAAACTAAACAAAAATCTCTCATCCCTAAAGAAAGTTCTTCGCCTCCTCTTTGTCCCCCTTCCAATGTGCCTTCAGTGCCTCTGCTAATCTCACATTCTCTTCTCCCAGCCACTCTCGTGAGCATGCCACATTTGTGGCCTTTGGAATCCTTTTGCAGCCTGTCTCTCAGGTTACTTCAGGTGCAAATTTCTAGAGTCACTGTGGCTTTTACACTGGTGATGCCATCGGTCCTCCCCAAGCCTCCTCAGGAAGGCCAACACTGCCAGAAGGGAAACGAATGTCAGAGAGTTACACCTGACAAAAACCATGTTCCTTCTAACTAAAGCAAGTCATCGTTCTAGGGCACTGCTAAGACCTCCCCTCTTAAAGCTGACCTTGGAGGGAACAGTGACAGTGAGCAGAAAGTTACTTAGCTTGGGTGCCCTGTGGTGCAGGTTTTAGGGAGAGAGCATTCCCCTCCCCTCCGGAGGGAGGTGAAGCTCAGGAGGAAGTGAGGACGGCAGGACTGAAGGGAAGAAGCTGAGCCACCACACAAGTGTGACAGAGGCCTCGCCCAGGATTCGAAGAAGCTCCAAAGCCAGATTGAGGAAAGGCTGTGGACCACCTCCTAGAAGTGAGAGTATCCTGGGGCAATGCGGCTCCTTTCTGGGTCAGGCCTGGCCGCCCAGGGACGCGGCTGTGGGTACTCAGCATCAGTACTCTCAGTGACCGTGGGGTGTGTCTCCCTTGTACTGGGGGCTCAGTGGAGCATCATGGAATCCACTCTAAGATATATGATCCTTCCTTTGGTCCCTCTCATGTGGCCACAGTCACCACCAGTCTGCAGTGAGGAAATCTGAGTTAGGAGGGTCACAGTCGGCTCCAAGCTCCGAATTCTGTCCTCAGACATCAAGACTCTGCTCCTCCCATAGCCAGCATGAACATGTTGCTGGGGCTTGTTTTTTTTTTAAAGCCGAGAGTTATTTACTGCCCGAGAAAGGGGGCAGGAGCGATAATCCTGGGACATGAAGAGCTCCTAGTTTAGCCATAGACTGGGCCTTCGCACACTTTCCCAGAGAGACCACCCATCAACAGCCGCCAGGGAAAGAAGAAGAATCTCTGTTTCCACACTCTATCCTCCTCTCACCGTTGCGAAGGCTGCAGATGTGGCCCTGACTCACCTCCTGAGACTGTTCTGGGCCTGATCTGGTGTTTAGGAGAGATTTAGGATAGATTCTTAGGCTAGATCTCCTGTGTGGCCTCTCTAACTGGGCAGTCTCCACCTGTTTTCAGCTAATCCAGCGACGGGCAAGGCTCTCATGGGGGCAGTGATGGGGTGATACCCAGAGGAAAATCCCATTTTCTCCTGGGAATGACTGCAGGATGCTCACGGATTTTTTTTTAAAGCCTGGATGCTATGGTGATGCAGGGAAATATATGCCGATTCCTTTTACTTGAAGGTGGAAGACTGGCAGCTTTTAATCTCAAATACCAGCCGTCCACACAGTCTCTGTTTCATTTGCAGGATGGCTGTCGGTCCCTTGGTTGTCAGCATTGGCTGCACGATAGAATATTCTGGGAGACCCAGGCCTACTTAACACCAATTACACTAAAATCTCTGAAGATAGGGCTCAGACATCAGTACTTTTTAAATACTAATGTCCAAGGTTACAAACCGCTTGCTTAGCCTCTTTCCAACTGGTTTGTCTACTCAGCCTCACAGGTGCCAGGACAAGAGAGCTACCTGGAGGAGCCAGGAAGGGAGGAGCTGGGGGTGGATTTTTTTTTTTTTTTTGGCTTGCTCATTCTTTTTACAGAGAACAGATGTTCAGTTTTTCTTACTTTTTTCTCAAGCCTCCTCCTCTTGGAATTTCTGACATCATCAAGTGGCCCTCTGTAATCCGGAAAAGCCCATCTCCTTCCAGGTAATTCCTCACCCAAAGCTAAAA